TGCTTCTTGTCCTATCCTCAGAGGTTAAGAAGAACATTTTTTTCTCCCCCCTCCTTGTAACACCCTTTTATGTACCTGAAAACTGTTATGTCCCCCCTGTTTTCTCTTCTCCAGATTAAACAAACCCATTTTTTTCACTCTTCCCTCAGAGGTCATGTTTTCTAGACCTTTACTAATGTTTTTTGCTCTTCTCTGGACTTTCTCCAGTTTGTCCACATCTTTCCTGAAAGGAAATACTGGACACAATACTACAGTTGAGGCCTAATCAGCGCAGAGCAGAGCAGAAGAATTACTTCTCGTGTCTTGCTTACAACACTCCTGGCTAATACATCCCAGAATGATGTTCGCTTTTTTTGCAACAACGTTACACTGTTGACTCATATTTAGCTTGTGGTCCACTATGACCCCTAGATCTCTTTCCGCAGTACTGCTTCCCAGGCAGTCATTTCCCATTTTGTATGTGTGCAACTGATTGTTCCTTCCTAAGTGGAGTGCTTTGCATTTGTCCTTATTGAATTTCATCCTATTTACTTCAGACCATTTCTCCATTTGTCCAGATCATTTTGAATTATAACCCTTTCCTCCAAAGTATTTGCAACCCCTCACAGCTAGGTATTGTCAGCAAACTTTATAAGTGTACTCTCTATGCCATTATATAAATCATTGATGAAGATATTGAACAGAACCAGACCCAAAACTGATCCCTGTGGGACCCCATTCGTTATAGGAATAAGAACATTTACATACAGCATATAGATGCTGTGACATTTATTACATTAATGTTTGTTCAGACCATAAATATTAAACATTACATTATATGTGAGGATAGAGGAGAGAAACTCTCAAATACTGTATTTGCTGGCTAATCAACAGATGGATTAGTTTTGAATGAGACCTTTCTATCCAGCCCTATGACTATCATATCCATGACACAGGTTAGGGACAAAAGACCATAATCAAGGAAAGTCTCTAAAATGGTTACAAGGACAAAAATTATTATTATTGTTGGTTTGGAATTTTTAGCAATGCATTGTTTAAGAATGTTTAACCTAAAATATGACACTAATTGCTTCTTTTTCAATAGTTATGCATTGTCTGGGGAATATGGAGCAATTTCACAAATTTAGCAATAGACATTTCACAAATTTTTGACCAATACGTGTAAAGAAGAGCTACAGCACAAAAGGAAATCCCCAATTAATGTAAAATAATGAAGAGAAGGAAAAAGGCTGTGAAGGAAAAAAAATGGCAAGTACAAGAAAGGGATCTTTCCTCTTCATTTAAGAAATGTTCAGGAAGGTATGAACACAAAGATAAGCTTACGTGACATTTCTAATAATCCAAGTTAGCTCTTACAGCAGTAGATTTAGTAAAGGAAAAGGGATATTTCAGAAGGATAAACTGCATTGAATAATATTTTCAGTGTCTTATGAACAAAGACTTGCTTCAATGGTAGAGATATACATCCTTTCTGTGTATCATTGTTCTTGCAAGAACATATTTATTGTGGCCAATTCAAGAATAGACTTGTTAAGTTTTTGTACAAAAGAAGAATTTATGCAGCTTCTCAAAATTTTGATAAAATATGAGATGATCTGTGTGAGGGGTATACAAACCCCCCACAGGGCTGGAAAGGGTTCAAGGACAGTACTGGGCCCAGGTAGCCCCATCCCTCCAGCCCTGCAGAGCATGCTCCAACTGGAGACATGGTTGAAAAGGGAGCAACCCAACTCAGAAGGGAGAGGCTGGAGAGAAAGACAGACCTACCCTGAAGGCTCCTGGCAAAAGGAGCCAAAGAAGCCTCCCTGTGGGAACAGGACTATATGCTGAGGCTGAGTGGGGCTGATGGTTTGACTTCTATTTCCTTTTCCTTATCTGGGACCAGAAGCTGAGGGAGAAAAGCAACAGTAGGAAGTAACCCAGGAAGGGTAACTCAGAGGGCCCCTTGGAGGCCAAACACTGCTGACCCTCCTAGGGCCCTGGGTCAGAGCCCGCTGGAATAGGCAGGCCTGGGCTCCTGTACCACTGCCATCACAACAGGGTGAGTGTTAACCACTAGGCCATCCAGCCCACAAGGACCCTATTACAATATCACATACTCATGTCACTATATCCATGACACAGAGAATGTGGTAGGGGTTACTGATATTCTCTGTTAGTGTGACTTTTGGAGGAGAAGAGGGGAGGGAGACTAATGCATATTTTTATTCTTATCGTGGCTTGTAAAAAGCTTCAGAGTGTCCTCCTTTGCCTCAGCTCCTGACTCTAAACAAACATGACATCAAGTATGGTAGCACTAGAAGCTCCAGCATGCCAATTATTTCCAGAGCAATAATGTAAACACTACAAAAACTGACTTTCCGCCCAGAAGAGTATTAGGGTTTGTGTCAGAAAAGGCTTAAAATGACCAAATGCATGTGGAAAAAAAGCTGAAATTGCTACATGTATGGTAACTTCTTGAGTACATCTACTAAAATTGCTAGGGGACACTTGGATAAAAAAACTGTAGCAGGACTAGTTTCCTTTTTGCAGCAATAAAAAAGAATATTCATGGCTACTTCTGCAAGATCTTGCAAACTCAAGACAAATCCTTAGTATTACCTCCATTGTCACTAACCATAAGGTGGAACACCCAGCTGTTTTCTACTATCGGGAACAACTGGATGGTCTTCAAAGTAGAGATGGCTGCATGTGCCAATGCTGCAATTTGGTCTTCATCACAAAACATCTGAATAACATTAGTAATATATGTAGTAGAACATGCAGCTACACTAACCAAATGCTTAAAAAGAACTCTTTGTCTATGTACTTAAGCGCTTTGTTGCATTGAGGCTATAGTGACCATCAGGAATTCTTCTTTGAGGATTATATCCCCACGGCCCCAAAAGGGAGAGTCCCCCTGTGTATTCTTAGTACTAAATTCAAATCTCATGAAGGTCTGTTTGTCAAGGAGTTCTGGTGGAAAGAGGAATACTGGAGGGGAAATGTGGACTAGGCCCTTGAGCCATCTTTTCATAGTCAATGAACGCTAAGGATCCCTGTTATAAGAGGATGATTTGCTGCTCCAAATAATTTGAGTAGCCAGAGTAGATCCTGACTTTTAAAAAGATAGTACACTGTCAGGAATACAAGGGAATCAGGGAAGCACAGGTTCTATGAGCCTGCTGCATGCTCATATCTCCATTTTAGTCCAAATTCCATAATATTCAAAACTAAAACTAAACTAATAGTAAGAGCTACACTGAAAGACACCAGTATCTTTCTTCATATTTGCTAGCCGGTGGTGAAAAATAAACTACATGAGTGAAACTTTTTCCTTATACTTTTATGAAAACAATTCTAACATAGTGCTACAAACATAGTAATGCAGCATTGAAACTGAAAATATGGATTCTCACGGGAAACTCCATTCTGTCTATGCAGCCCATAATCTTTCTAAGGTGGTTTTTCCAGGAATCTTTATTTTTCGGTTGTTCCTATTGTATATTTGAAAGATACTTTAGAAGCATATCTTCTGTAGTGTTGTATTTTCTCAGCTTTACTTGCCTCACAAAGAATGTTCTGCATTTAAGGAAGGTGCTGAAGCATAGTCGGTTTTGGCAACAATAGGACTGTTGACAAACATGCATGCACAGTGGTAGCACACATTCATGGTTTATCGTTCTATGTAAGAAGCCATTGTCAACACATTTATCTTGTGTTTCTGTCTAAAGGAAGAAACAGGACAGTATAGTTTGGGTGCTATTATTTACTGAGTTAATTACAGCCTAGATTTAAAGTGTATGCTTATTCTCTTGAAAGGGCCATTCTACTAAATTTAAATGTTCATTCCATGAGATGAAATATTAATATTTACTGCTTTTATGAGATCTTCATATTTGCAAAGCACTGAACAAATATTAATTAGCCTTACCATATACCTGTGAGGGAGGTAGTTATCACTGTTTTACTGATAAGGAAACTGAAGCCCAGAAAGCTTAACTGACAAAGCCAAAGTCACACAGCAAATCAGTGGCAGAGGCAAATTAGAACTTCATCTCCCAGTTCCTACACCTGTGTGGTCAGTCCTTTAGCTCACACTAGGAAAAAGCATATCAATCAATATTCTGACTGGAAATATTCTGATTCAAGCCATAATTATTATTAATTTTTTAGCTAATTTTATATAACAGAACCCATTTATCTTACTCTACCAAACTACATGAAACATTTTTTTAAAAGCTCAATTTGCTGTTTCGATCTCATTATACGGTACCCTTTTTTCTTTTATCTCCCAAAGTTACAAAATAAAATCGCTTAAACAAACATACTTTGTGTTTGTACATTACCTAGTACAATTGGGCCACATTCTTGGTTAGTCCTTAAAATAGGATTAACAACAACAACCACACCTAACAGTTTTATATATCATTCTAACAGGCACTCCAAACAAACATCAAATATGCTGTTTTGCAATAAATTATTATTGTGATCACAATTGCAATTTGAAACCAAGATGTAAGAATTTCAGGAAGCATACAATTCTGTTGCTTCAAGTCTTTTTCTGAAGTCTGTAGATTCATTTAAACTTTTTTTTAAAATGCTGTTTTTAAATCTAATGATAGGCTTTGTATTAACACCCCTGTAAATAGTCCATTCCCAATTTGTAGACAAAACTGTTATTCTCCCTTCTCCTTTTTCAACAATTATGCATTTTAAAATGTGATTGCTCATTTAATAGTGTTTGTTGTGTTTAAAGTACTTTGACACAAAAGATGATAAAAACTAACTCTTTATACTAAAAACTTAGCATAACAATAATAAGTGTCTAACTGACGAAAAACAGTTTGAGGTAATGGTTTAAATATTGCATTGTATAAGCAATGGTACATATGACATCTTGACTACTACATGAAGTATTGCATACTAAACTTGATTAATATAACAAAGGAAAAAATACTCATCAACTAAAACAGTATGCATACATTAGAGACAGTAATCAAATTAGGAACGAGGCTCACCATTTTGAGACGTGAAAGGATACTGAGGAATCAGTGAAGTGCCCACAGTACTTGGCAGCCTTAACTTGGAGTGTGGCGAGAGCAGTGATGGAGCCGGAAGCATGAGATTTGAGCTGGTCTGTAATAGGAAAGGCAAATCAGAAAATAAGTTGTAATTTCCTGGGTTACTTACTGATGCAAGAACTAGATGAGAAGTATTTACTTACCATAAATAATTATTAAATTCTAGATAGAATGAGTGTCACATTGAGGGCAAAAGAGCAATTTAAATTGTTTGCTTTTTTGGAGGAAAAATATTTGGGAACAGAAAGTTGAAAAACTATTGGTGGTTTGAAATGTAAATGAAAGCTTAAATGCTTAACAAAAAAATTGAGTAGTGAAAAACTGATAGAATAAAAAAATCCTCCACAATACAGAAAGAAATATAATGTACAGTTGTTTATATGTGTAATAACTCTTATTCATATTGGCCTATCAAACTATTTGTATGCTAGACCAAATTCAGATATGAAAAAGAACACTTAATTTTAGTATTTTAAATTACATTGTGTCTAAATAGAGTACTTATGAGGAAAGGGTTAAAACGTAGTCATAGAGAAAATTATTCTTTGCAAATTGTGCAACATATTTAGACCAAAACACCAGTTACTTCCTTTATGAAGACTACACAAAAGCCACCTGTAGCACACATGCTTATTTCCATAATGACACAGATAACATAGCTGAAATCTGATTTGCTATAGAGGTTCTTTGCATATATGCAGTTACCACAAATACAAACCCTTCTCAAACTATTCCTAATGTGTTATCCTAGATAACACATGTAAAATATATTAAGACAATTTGAGGCATTTACATGATCAAGCAAAACATTTTCTTATAAATTACACCTATTGTCACAGACTGCCTTTGATCATAGTGTCAAACTGGTGGGAAAATATAGTCATAAAATATCTACAACAAAATTCACTGCGTTTCCTTTAAATAAAATCAGTGTAATTAGCTGAAATTGTTTTTTCCCCCAGTAACATATATAAAAACAAAAATCAAACAAAAAGCCAAGAAGTATGTTATCAAGCATGTTCACTTAGGGTTTAATCCAAAGCCCATCACAATGGAAGCCCAGGTCAATGGAAATCTTTCTTGTGACTTCTGTGGGTTTTCGATCAGGCACGTAAACTTTAGTTGTGGAGAAAAATTATAACATATTTAAGCCTACTTCTATTTTATTAGTCTCTAAATTCTATTTAAAGAAATGAAGCCAGTTACAAGAAAGGGCAAGTTTTCGCTTGCTTTCAGAAGTAGTAAAGTGACATAAGCACTGGTTGTATAAATTACAACATATGTTCAACAATTCCCTAGGCCTCGATCCTGAAAAAATATGTATGCATGGATTTAACTTTGGACTTGTCTATATAAATAATTAGTTTACTGCAAGCTAGGGTGTAAATGTATCTTACACTCATCTGCTGTGCACTAAGTGTCCATGAGGGAGGGACTGTCTTATTATTTGTCTGTACAGCACCAGTGAAAATGGGGCCCTGACTTGGCAACTATATACTATGGTAATAATAAATATTTTCCAAAACAGGCTAATCTGTTTTGCTCAGTTTTGGGTTAACTGCGACACGCAATGCACAAAATCAGACCAACCAATGAACATTATCCAAGAACTCTAAAGCATCTGCATTTTACTGCAGTATGAGAATTCAATTGTATGTACATTTTAAGTAATTCTTCTGAAATCTAAGCAGAGTGAAAACAAGTTCTCCCTTCCTTACAGCCTGACTTCTCTCCAAATGAGCCATTTCCAATATTATGGATCTTTTTTCTAAACTTCACAAATATTTTGTAAAGTCATAACCTAATGTGTGTAATAAATCACACAAACAACAAATAAAACCATTCAAAATTGGGACTTTCTATAATCCCTTTTTTTGTACATCACAGCAAAAATTAGGAGAAATTGATTTTAAAATTTCAGATATCAGAGATGTTTCAATAACCTGTCTCAGTTGTGGTGACCCTACATGGAGTTTTAAAGATGAAGTGAAATACGTCACATGTAAAGTTATTTCAGTACAGTATTTAATTCACTTCTCTTTTTAAATTCAGCTTTCCTTCTGCATGACCAACAACCTTTGTACATGCCACACTCTATTGCTTTGAAATCCAGTCCACAAGACTGGATTTACACTAGAGAAATAAATTCTCCCTTTCAGTTTTTCTCTTAAGAAAAATGGCCCCTATTTAAAATACAAACATAAACACAAAACAATTCATGCCCCCATTGTCCTCCCTCCAAAAAACCCTAAAGCAAGGCACTTACTTTTTTGTAAAAGACTGATATTCTTTTTTAATTTAAAAGCTTTCATTTGAAAATAAATCTTACAGCAATGGTCCCAATTCTGCAATTGACTCCATGTGGGAAGACCCCCTAGAAGTCAACAGAGCTCTATGCAGGCATAAGAAGTACCACATGAAGTACCTGCATAATCAGGGCCTGCATTTTCTTCCACGCCATTAGGTTTCTGATATTATTTTAAATCCCTTTTTAAAAACTTATTAAATAGTGAAGAACAGCACTACAAAGGGCTAGAGAAGTCAAATGTGGATACACAATAATGACTTTTTTTATTAGTGTTTCAAATTTGAAACATGAATGTGTTAAGAAAGCATATTTGAAAAAGCACATTAATACTTATGTATTTTCTCTACTTTTTCCAATAGACAAACATGTAATAATACCTATGGAACCAATAGAGTGAAGCAATCACTATTTCTGAAATGCATGCTGTGGGAAGGGATTGCTAAATACCTTTACAACCACAAGTAAGGTTGGCTAAGATAGCCAACACCAATCTACTCATTTTTCACAACATACTTTGCTTGCTTCATGCAAAAACCACAGCTTTATCAAAGACACAGTTTACTACCACTCCTGAGTTGAGTAAAGCTAAAAGTTATAAAACTCAAAGTTTTTGCAGAGGTAAAAAGAAACCCACAATAATTTTTGCCAAGTTTAAACAATGCTACTTTGTATTCTCTTTTTTGTGTTAGGGCAGCTCTATGCAAATTATGCAAATATAAATTTTCAATGGTACTAGTTTTCATGGTAAAAAAGTGAACTGCATGTGACAAAAAAAATACTGCAAGATTTGACAAGCTAACAAAAACAATTTCTCTTTTTCCCTGACAACTCAGTTTTATGAACTTTGCAACTGATATAATTAAAATTTCCATATGTACTTGCAAGTCAAATTAAGTTGGCCAGGTCTGTTTTATTTCTTATCCGTTTAGGTTTGCTTTTTGAGGTTTTGTGCCTTTAGGACACTCTATTTTTAAAGAAGACTTTTAAAGTAGTTTTTAAATCATGATTTTGTGGGTTTAGAAAGTTGACAATGCAATCAGGTAAAAAAAATTTTGTTTTACCATTTCTTTTGTTCAATACTAGAATGGATCCATATGCAATAACACTTCAGTATAAATAAAAATATACTGCCACAATTTTTATGTGAATTCTGAGTCAAGTTTACATCTGATATATATTTTTTTATTATTTGTATTACAGCCATACATAGTGTCCTCAACTGAGATCAGGGCTCCATTGTATTAGGCATGGTACAAACACATAGTAAGACAGTCCTTGCCTCAAAGAGCTTCCAGTCTAAGTAGGCAAAACAGACACGAGGTGGATGAAATGAAGTATCTTCCCTGGTATACAGATCAGGCTCTGAGATACAGAAAGATCACATGACTTTCCTAAAGTCACACAGGAAATTTATGGTAGAACCAGGAATTGAACAAATAACTCAAGTTCCAGTTCAATGCCTGAACATCAAGGCCATTTCTCCTCTGCGTGTTCTGTTAAAACAAACATTTCTATAACCATCTGAACTAACAGGCTTCTTCCTTGGAGCCAACTTGTGATTCCCTTTGCAAGGCATACAGAAAAACAGTGATCTTTCTTGGATGAGGTTTAAGACAGATGTGTCTACATAATAAAATGCAGAGATACTGCCATTTTAATGGGATTGGTCAATGCCATCACCAACAGCAGTGGGAAGTATATTTGTCTTGCTTAATAAAGGCTATGAGGATTATGTAATCTTTGTCTCTCTATAGGTTGGTTATTTTTCTTGCTATTGAAGGGTATATGGGGGAAAAGTACATGACATTTTCTTCACCAATTACGGGATAAAACTTCCATTGGCTACAGTCCAGTTTCTTGCAATGAGATATGGCAAACAGAGCATTCAAAGTTGTGTCCCACTTGAACATCTCAATCCAGAGGGTTTTTTGTTTTTAACTGACTCAGTGAACCTTTCTTGTGATTGCATTTTCCCTCCTGACTGATGCTCTCTTGCATACCTCAGGGGCTTCCAGACAAATAATGCAAAACCCTATTCCTGGTTCCTTCCTACCTGTTGATAGAAAACATTGTGGCATGATTGTCTGTTTTAATTTAAATACATTTTCAGGAAACCAAGCAAAAGCCTGAAATGCATACACAAAACCCTCTTCCTCCGAGACATCTATTTGGCACCTGCATTTCCCCCCACATATAAAAACCTCTCTGTGTGTGCCCTAAGCCAGACCAGACAGCTTAATAGTGGTTATGTGTAAAAAAAAACAAAACAAAAACAAAAAAAAAACAGGACAACATTTTTGTGAAATTCAATTAGAAATCAGTTTAAACTAAACCAGTAAGTCATTGTCCACACAAGAGTTTGTACTGGTTTAATTAAATTGGTTTAAAAAAATCACATTTTCAGTTAAACCACTGCAACTTTCTTATGTAGACAAGGCCTAAATTACCTTGCCTGCTGATTCATTACAAAGCAGCTTGGAATTGGAAGAAAGTTAAAATAAACTATCCAGATTCACGCAGAATGAGCTACACATTCCATTTTTGGATACAAAATACGTAAGATTCTTTCTAGTGTTTTTTGTTTTGTTTTGTTGTTGTTGTTTTTTTACTCTAATGAGAGGTGATCATTTCAGGGTGTTTCTTTTTGTTTCAAGTGAATGTATAAACACTAAAAGGAAACCGTGAAACAGTTACCAAAATCTGTAAGCATTTTCAATCTCATCTGCTCTTCCTTTACTTTTAATCTA